CGAAACTACTGATACCATAATGCTGCAAGTCAATTATGCTGAGAGAAAAAAAATCACTCAAACTATATCCTGGATGTTCCTTTTTAATGACAGTCTCAAAATGACCAAAAAAATTGATGTGGAAAATGGATCAGTGGCTTCCACAGACCAGATAGGGGTTGTGTGAAGGGACATAGAGTTGGGGGGACAGCAGAGAGGTAGGAGGAAGGGAGGGAAACATTGCAGCAACACTAGAGATTTTTGTGGTGATGGGACTGTCCTGTATCTTCACTGTGCTGATGGTCACATGAATCTAAACATGTGATAAAACTGCCTACACACATTTTTACCAAAGTTAAGTTCCTGATTTTGATACTACACCGTAATTTGGTAAAATGTAACTATTAGGAGGAAATGGTGAGGATACACCAGGAATTTCTGTAGTGTATTTGCAAATTCTCTAAAATCTGTAACTGTTTGAAAACAATATATATATATATATTATATAATATTATAATATATATAATATATAATATTATATAATATATATATATATATATATATATATATATATATATATAATACCACTCATAGAGGGGCCTCCCTGGTAGCCCAGGGGTTAAGTCTCAGCACTATCACCTTGATGGCCTGAGAAGGATCGCTGGCCAGGGAGCTGACTCACATATGGTGCAGCAGACTTCTCCAGTTTCACCTGATGCTCCCCTTAGCAGTGTGTTTCAGTAAATCTGCTTGTTTTGCCCCCCAATCTATCTCAGGTGAGCCCTCTCATCTCCCACACCTGTGGCCTATATCCCAGTTCTACACACACACCAAAAATACCACTCAGGGAAATTTATAAAAATTAAAATAGATGCGGCCCTCCCTGGTGGTGCAGCAGGTTAAAGCACTGCACTGAGAAGCTAAAGCCACTTCCACATGAGTTCGATTCCCGCCTGCCCCGGAGGTGACCACATGGTGTGGCAGACCTCTCCTGACCCACCCGCTGCTCCCCTCAGCAGTGTACTTTGTAGATCTGCCTGTTCTGCTCCCCACTCTGTCTCTGGTGAAGCCTCTCGCCTCCCCTGAGCCTCTGGCCTGTATCCCAGTTCTGTATGCACAAATAAATAAATCTTTAAAAAAATTAAAACAGATGCTCACAGATACTTACATATAAGGATGGCTGCTTTCTACAGGACTATTAAATGAAAAATTTTCAGGATGTTTAATCACAATAGCACAAGGCTAAATAAAAATGGCATATTTACATTCACTGCAGATATCACAGACATAAAAGATTTTTGTAGTATTAAGTATTTTTTAAACACAGATTATAATACAATATAAAAACATTGCATTTGTATGGAAATATGTATGCATTACATAAAAAGATAAACATACATTAGGAGCATTTACCATTGGGTAGAGGTATTATAGTAATGTTACTGTTCATTTTGTACAATTTCCAAATTATCAAGAGTAAATATGTATTATTAGATTGTGGCTACAAAAATATATCACAGAAAAAATGTTTTTGAGGATGTAAAGAGGAGCATTCAACTACTGTTGATAGGAATATAAATTGGCATAGCTTCTATGGAAATGGTATGGAGAAGCCTAAAAACAATAAAAGTGGAAATACCATATGATACAGTAACACCACTCCTAAGTATTTACCCAAAGAATAAGAAAACACTGACTGAAAATTTTTGATGTACTCTTATGTTCATATCAATATCATTTACATTAGACAAGATGTGGAAAACAGCCTAAATGATTACCAGCAGACAAGTGGGTAAAGAAGGTGTGGTATATACATTCAATGGAATATTATCCAGCTATAAAAAAAATGAAATAGGGCCCTCCCTGGTGGCGCAATAAATTAGGACACAGCACTACAAGTTAGTCACAGCCGCTTCGCTGTGAGTTCAATCCCCGGCCTGGAGGAGACCCACATGGCGCAGCAGCTCTTTCCTGACCCGCCTGCTGTTACCCTCAGCAGTGCACCTCTTTGGTCAGCCTGTTCTACTTCCTACTCTGTCTCTGGCAAATCCTCTCACCAACCCTGCTCCTCTTGCCTGTACCCAGTTCTGTATGCATAAATAAATAAATCTTTTTTTAAAAAATGAAATAATGCCTTTGGTACAAAATAGATTGATCTTGAGGTGCTTATGGTAAATGAAAATGAATCTGAACATTAAAGACAAATACCAAATGGTTTCAATCATTTAATCAATATAAATAATCAGAGAAAAAAACCTGGCAAAATATAATAAAAGTAACTCCTAGACTCTGTATAAGCTATAGTTGTTCCCAGAGTGGATATTGGGGGTGGAGGGGAATCCAAAGGAGGGCCTGTGATAGGGTACTCTAGCACTGAAGCATTAGGTGGAGGGTGAAATATATACACATATATGGAGGTGTGAAGTTGTATTCCCAAGATTACAGTTATGTAGACTACTTGTAAATCAATAAGAAAAATAAAATAATTGAAGAACTCTTCATACCTTAAAAAAATGAAGTTTATAAAAATAAATTAACGGGCCCTCCCTGGTGGCGCAGCGGGTTAAAGCACAGCACTGAGAATCTAAAGCCACTTCCTCATGAGTTCGATTCCCGCCTGCCCCGGAGGCGACCACATGGCGTGGCAGACCTCTCCTGACCCGCCCGCTGCTCCCCTCAGCAGTGTACTTCGTCGATCTGCCTGTTCTGCTCCCTGCTTTGTCTCTGGTGAATTCTCTCACCCTCCGCATCTCTGGCCTGTACCCCAGTTCTGTACAAATAAATAAATAAATCTTTAAAAAAAAATAAATTAACAAAAATATTCACAAACATAAATTTTGAAAATGACTAATAAATACAGCTTTTTAAAATTATTTGAACAGTTTATTTTGTTCCACATAGCATAAGATTTGTTATATCAGTGATATGGAAGACCATGTGACTGTGCTAAATATTTGGAGGGGCATCATTGCCCATTTATTGGATTTTTTTGCTTGTACTGAAGATGTCAACACAGATAAAAAGATATAAAAAACAGGTTAAAGTAGTAAGGAAAAAATAATAAGGATAATTGTCACTATATTCATCAGTATCACAAATCAATAAAAAAGGAGAAAAATTTTGTCTGATCTACTTTTCAAATCAAAATGTAGGTTTAGAGTGAAGCTGGACAATTTTCTTCATTCACTCTGCTGGCATCAAGCTCCCTCTTCTTTGTTTAATCACATTTTTTGCCATCTTGTAGTAAGCAGAAGTTATACCCTTAAAAATAGTGTTTCCCAGGTCCTTCCATGGTGGTGCAATGGGTTAAAGCACAACACTAAAAAGCTAGCTGCAGCTGCTTCAGCACAAGCTCAATCCCTGGGAGAAGACACACATGGCACATCACACCTCTCCTGTCTCGTCCATTACTCCCCTCAGCAGTGTACTTCGTCATTCTGTTCCCTACTTTGTCTCTGGTGAATCCAATCACTGACCCTATACCTCTGGTTTGTACTCCAGCTTTGGAATGCAAGAATAAATAAATCATTAAAAAAAAACTGTTTTACTTGACTATGCCAAGCTAGATGAGTCTTCTCTTTCTCCAAATACATAAAACAGTTTAAGTAAAACTTAACATATGTTTACAAAATTAAAAAAAAAAAGAACCTTGTTAAAATTATGCTTCCTTTCTGTGAATCTCTAGAGTCCACAGTTTGCTGGTAGTTTCTTCTGGAACTTTCACATTCTGCATCTTTTATAGCTACTTTTGTATTTTTATCTGTTTCACTAGATTATAAAGTCCCCTACATTCTGGGAACTTACCTATTCATCTTTATTATCCTGAAAACACCTAGCAGAATACATTTCACTAGTTAATATCGCCTTGTTCTATTGGGTGTGCAATATGATTATGAACATTTCAAATCAGGCATGTCAGCCCTGCGGCTTTGTAATCTGCACAGTATCCAATTTAAGTCTAGGTTTAGTGATGATCATTGCATTTTTGCTACTTCCTGATTACTGAAATATGTTTAAGAAATAAGATGTAGAAGAGATGATACCTAAAGTTGTTGGAGACAGAAATTTTGATACATAAAGGGAAAATAACAGGTAAAAGAGTCCTTAACTTTAGTCGTATAATAAAAAGAAATAAATTGAGGATTTATACAAGTTCAGTAATTGGGTTAGGGCAAAAAAAATAAAAAACAAAAAAATAGCACTCTTAAAGAAAATGAATTTTGTGAAAAGTTTCCTATAACCTTAAGAAAAAACAACAGGAAGGCCCTCCCTGGTAGTGCAGCGGGTTAAAGTACAACACTGAGAATCTAGAGCCGCTTCTACATGAGTTTGATTCCCGCCTGCCCCGGAGGTGACCACATGGCGTGGCAGACCTCTCCTGACCCGCTTGCTGCTCCCCTCAGCAGTGTACTTCGTCATTCTGTTCCCTACTTGGAAATATGTATGCATTACATAAAAAGATAAACATACATTAGGAGCATTTACCATTGGGTAGAGGTATTATAGTAATGTTACTGTTCATTTTGT